GGAGACGCTTTCAACCGAGAAAGATGGATTCTGGGCTTAGCAATCATTGGAAGGATTTGATAAACCATTTCGGGTCTTAATTGATTGTTCACGCTTACGGTTACCGTGAGAGATTCGTTCACTGAGGCTATCCACCATATACAAACACAGAGACGCTTTCAATCGAGAAGATGGATTCTGGGCTTAGCAATCATTGGAAGGATTTGATAAACCATTTCGGGTCTGATTGATTGTTCACGCTTACGGTTACCATGAGAGATTCGTTCACTGAGGCTATCCACCATATACAAACACAGGAGACGCTTTCAACCGAGAAAGATGGATTCTGGGCTTAGCAATCATTGGAAGGATTTGATAAACCATTTCGGGTCTTGATTGATTGTTCACGCTTACGGTTACCGTGAGAGATTCGTTCACTGAGGCTATCCACCATATACAAAACACAGAGACGCTTTCAACCGAGAAAGATGGATTCTGGCTTAGCAATCATTGGAAGGATTTGATAAACCATTTCGGGTCTTAATTGATTGTTCACGCTTACGGTTACCTATGAGAGATTCGTTCACGAGGCTATCCACATATACAAACACAGAGACGCTTTCAACCGAGAAGATGGATTCTAGGGCTTAGCAATCATTGGAAGGATTTGATAAACCATTTCGGGTCTTGATTGATTGTTCACGCTTACGGTTACCATGAGAGATTCGTTCACGAGGCTATCCACATATACAAACACAGAGACGCTTTCAACCGAGAAGATGGATTCTGGGCTTAGCAATCATTGGAAGGATTTGATAAACCATTTCGGGTCTTGATTGATTGTTCACGCTTACGGTTACCATGAGAGATTCGTTCACGAGGCTATCCACCATATACAAACACGGAGACGCTTTCAACCGAGAAAGATGGATTCTGGGCTTAGCAATCATTGGAAGGATTTGATAAACCATTTTGGGTCTTGATTGATTGTTCACGCTTACGGTTACCGTGAGAGATTCGTTCACGAGGCTATCCACATATACAAACACAGGAGACACTTTCAACCGAGAAAGATGGATTCTGGGCTTAGCAATCATTGGAAGGATTTGATAAACCATTTCGGGTCTTGATTGATTGTTCACGCCTACGGTTACCGTGAGAGATTCGTTCACGAGGCTATCCACCATATACAAACACGGAGACGCTTTCAACCGAGAAAGATGGATTCTGGGCTTAGCAATCATTGGAAGGATTTGATAAACCATTTCGGGTCTTGATTGATTGTTCACGCTTACGGTTACCGTGAGAGATTCGTTCACGAGGCTATCCACCATATACAAACACGGAGACGCTTTCAACCGAGAAAGATGGATTCTGGGCTTAGCAATCATTGGAAGGATTTGATAAACCATTTCGGGTCTTGATTGATTGTTCACGCCTACGGTTACCAGTGAGAGATTCGTTCACGAGGCTATCCACCATATACAAACACAGAGACGCTTTCAACCGAGAAAGATGGATTCTGGGCTTAGCAATCATTGGAAGGATTTGATAAACCATTTCGGGTCTTGATTGATTGTTCACGCTTACGGTTACCGTGAGAGATTTGTTCACGAGGCTTTCCACCATATACAAACACGGAGACGCTTTCAACCGAGAAAGATGGATTCTGGGCTTAGCAATCATTGGAAGGATTTGATAAACCATTTCGGGTCTTGATTGATTGTTCACGCTTACGGTTACCGTGAGAGATTCGTTCACGAGGCTATCCACCATATACAAACACGGAGACGCTTTCAACCGAGAAAGAATGGATTCTGGGCTTAGCAATCATTGGAAGGATTTGATAAACCATTTCGGGTCTAATTGATTGTTCACGCTTACGGTTACCGTGAGAGATTCGTTCACGAGGCTATCCACCATATACAAACACAGAGACGCTTTCAACCGAGAAAGATGGATTCTGGGCTTAGCAATCATTGGAAGGATTTGATAAACCATTTCGGGTCTTGATTGATTGTTCACGCTTACGGTTACCGTGAGAGATTCGTTCACGAGGCTATCCACATATACAAACACAGAGACGCTTTCAACCGAGAAAGATGGATTCTGGGCTTAGCAATCATTGGAAGGATTTGATAAACCATTTCGGGTCTTGAA